CTCTCGTTCACTTAAAGATAGCAAAATAATTTTCCGAAGGCTTATCAACGGATGATCAAAAATGTACTATCTTGCTTGAGCTCTTCTGTGCCTTGTGCTTTTTTAAATATTTGATCACGACTGCTATCGATCAGCGCTTATTACTTTCTACTCTGCATCGTATTCCTTACTTAGTTAATTTCCTTTTCTTTACTTAATTCCAGTCTTTGCAATAGTACCGGAGTTAGTTAGGAGTTAGTTATTATTTCTTTTTGCTTTTATTTTTTATTACCTATTGCTATAGTAGGGGAGCCCAAAACAGGGATGATGGGGACAACCTTGTACCTTGTGATGAACTCCCACCATAGGTGTATCGAAAAAATACTGGTTAAACCCATCTCTGAAAAGAATATATACCTGTAGGTAATATATTCTTATAATAATTATTATATTACCTACAGGTTTGTACGGAACCCTCGGTGCGCGAGCCCGCCTCACACTTTACAAAAAAAATCTGTTATCGCAATTTTTCCTTTATCTGCGCTATTCCGACCTTGCTTGGTACTAAATTTCAAGATTCTGAGTTCACAGAAAGTACCGTGTAGGTTTTGATTCCCTTGCGAGTTTCGAAAATTTGCGGAATTTAGCCCCATTATCGGCTGTATCTTTTGATTGCGTTGGCTTAGAAGTGGTGTTTTTTCAAGTCTAAGAGACAATAGACCTGAATATTTAATATTAATTTCAGCTTTTTCGTTTCTGAGAAAAAGGGACTTGACAGACGGACAACAAAGTGATCCTATAAGGGTTCTGTTTTTTCCTTTCGAGGTACGGAACCCTAAAAAGTGGGACAGCTGAACTCAACAGTTTGGTTTAACTAGTTTATTTATTAACTAATGGAATATAGCTGCGCGAACACCCGTGCTCCTGCTAAAGCCTTCACAGTACACTGCAAATTCAGCAGACACCAATTTCATATGAAATTCAGTGCCTTTGACGTCTGCAAATACAGCAATTAGGAGCGTGAAACGCCTTCTATGTGAATGTGGGCTTGGAAATCCACAAACGTAGTAATCATCTGGGATAACATATATTACGCCCAAAGAAAATCAAATCTCTGTAAGTAAGATCCGTTCTGTGCTTTTTGGAAGCTATCGGGCTACTCGTAGAAGAGAAACTTTACCTGGGGGCGAGTCACAATAGATCGTTTAGGTCACAGTGACTACAGTTGCACTGGGACTGCATAGCCCCACAAAACTGGAATAATGATAACAAATCCCAAATTCTTCGCTTAGGCTCCCCTAATTCAGAAGAAAGTAACGTTTATGGTTGCACTACATATTTCATACTAAGCATGCTACAGTGCTAAAGGTAATTTGTTTTTTCGCTGTACGATATACAAGAAAATTGCTACTACTAATTATGAACAGTGTATGTTTCTACAGTAAACTACTGGTGGTCTCACAAAATAAAACATTGAATTTAATGTAACAAAAACTGGAAACCACTATTTATGGCGTGGTTTCGCTTATGAAGCGAACTCGCTTAATGACGATAGAAGTATCTAAACAAGGCTAGGTAAGATGGTTGCTCCTATAATTGTCAGAGAGATTGGCAACGTAAAAACCCTGTATTTACAAACTGTTGATGATGTTGAGAATGGTTTATAAAGCAATTATAATTAATTGCTGGTGATGCTCAAATTGGATTGTGAACAAGAATTTTTTTTTTGCTCAGATCATGATTGTCTGTACTTTCTGTAAAAATAATTCGCTGACTAATTTTAGATCATAGCTCAACAAAGAAAAGTCATTAACTGACTTAATACTTATATATAGCAAGTGTCAGACAAATTCCTTCATACAGAAATAGACCTTAGGAACAGGCGTTCATTGACAGTTGATTTGACTAAACGATGATCATATTAAAAGTTATGTTAACATTCTTCAGAATAAATTGTAATAGTTAGTAATGAGCTTTTTAATGAATTCAAAACGTTTATTAAACAAGCCCGAATTAGACACAGTCGTAAAGCGAATAAGTGCAGTCGGCATATCATCCAGACAAATTGTACACGCGCTATTTAGTAGTCTAATTATGTATGTCACTCTCGGTCATTTGGTCGTACCAGTGATCTCATTCCGATACGAAGCCAGTGATTTATCGTCACATGGAGAGGAGCTGCCGATACGGTGACGCAATGGGCACCCATCCATGACTCCGACACTCCTTGGTGGTCGGTTGACATCGTGTCCTAATTTAGATTGCCATTGATTTAGTCTGTGAAATATTTCGGTTTTGGTGTTTGATTGATTTGTCTAGTAGCCCTCGTCGAATTGTCGTCAATGTGTGGTATTTTCAAGCTGAAAGAGCAAATGTAGACACCAATGTTTGTTTTTCTTGATCGGTTGGTTTTGGAACAAGTTCATTTTCTGACGGTATGGTGGATGGGAGAAGAATAGAAAATACAGTCACGGCTACTGACGGCGGTGGCTTCGGACTTGGTTTAAAGTTTTATTAAACAGGTTGACGGAATCGGGGAATCAGGATGACCCACCACGAGGCCCCGTTGTGGATTGGTGGGGTTCTAATATTCATTACGTAATCAATTAATTATAAGGGAATACACATCATGTTGGGCCGGATTCTGGTATGACTCTCTAAACATAAAACTAAATTTAGTAGACGAAAAAGAGAGACAACAGTCTCTTTCGCGTTTTTATCGATCGATAATATCAGATGCGTTATTGCGATATCCTTTTTAGTACATTAGTATGAGAACGGCTACGAAGTTACATACTGCTGCGATAATAACGAAGCAATAGAAGTATGGCGAAATATCGCAATAACGAATCCGATATTTTTGGCCGATAATAACGCGCCTACGGGTGGGAGGCTTAATACTCATGAAATATTTTTCCATAAGGAGACTTAAACGTCCAATTCCTTAATCACTGAATTAAGCATGAAAATAGCCAGAGATACCAACGGTACTATAGATATGGTCTAGAAATTTATGTTTATTATTGAATACTATCTTTGGAAAATCTGCTTTCGAGTTATTTCTGAAACAAAGACCTTTTAAAATATTCAATATGAATATTGCATCAACTTTGAAATTTTCAAAGGTAATGTAACTTTGCAGATATGTAACGGAAATAATCTGTAATTCGTAATATTGTGAATAAAAACATTAAGTAGTAAATAGCAACAAAATATTCTAATGGTCTTTTCAGACATGGCGAATAACGCAAAAGCTATCTTCCGATCTTTTTCAATCCAGGAGATGTATGAAAAGCAGTACAAAAACAGATTCAATGGGAAATATGCCAGGAATGGAACATTGTTTATTTTTTTCAGACACTGTAAATGTTTAGATTTTCATTGTACCAATGCGAGTTTGATGATTTACACTGGTTTCAACCGTTCACAGGCAGTAAAACAGTGTAAAACTTAGTTTTATCACTAACAATAAGTAGTGAAATACTCGTAAATGAACATGGCATCCATTGTTCTCAAAGCGAGCTTTAACTTTTTGACAAGTTGGCAGTTGGTGTGGTTTATACATTTCCCTGCTATTACCTAACCTATTACAACATAAGCGTATTGACGTATCACTTATTACGCGTATTGTCACACTTAGTGATTCACGGATACTGTCCTCAGATAAGTATCAGGCGATTGGTATTCGAAGCGGTGCCATCGGCTGTATATAAAGACCACAAACTGTGACAAAAATGATAATTAGTTGTCATATGGATTAATTACAATGAGCACTTTGTTGCGAACGATCGTATCGGAAGGGCAATGTGTGTCATTTGATGTCTATGATCAGTAATGAACCATTATGTATCTTTAGTAAGCAGAAACCTACCTATGTACGAGATATGTGGAAACATCTAAATAATATTTCCGCTTTCATCAGAGCGAACGAACGTGTCATCTTCCTTATCTTCGATGCGTGAGATTAAGCTTACAGGTGCTGCTTGTAGGTGTATACATGATTTTTGTTATTTTTTATTTAGTTTTATATTATTATTTAGTTTGAGATATTTTTTTTGGTAAACAAGTTGTAGTTGATACGAGAGAGCGAGGCATTCTAACACAGGTATATATTTACCTAAAGGAGTGTTTCAATAACTTTTATGTTAATTTAATTTGGTTACAGAATAAATATTTTTCACTTTCACTTTTTTTCATTCTTCCTTTCTTATAATGAAACTATCTAGCCAAGTAGAGCTTTTTTATGGTGTTACTTTACATTTATACTCGTAAACAACCATGACGGAATCGGTAATGAGAACCCAATCCCATAACAGAGTAACATTAACGGGGTATCCCGGGGCCCATGAAATCTTACTCACGGAAACTAGCAAAGTTTTATTCGTTTTACTGTGATCTTTTGAAATGTGTAAATTACTTCCCAAGACGAACTATCCAAATAGAATGAAAATCCGCTATACTCTTCTTCTGTATTGCCTTAAAACACCGATAAAAGATTGCGAAGTACTCAAAAGCTTTACACGAATGAAGCTTAATGCCAGCACTAGCACTTCACATGACCTTTTCTATTTCTATATTAGACAGCAATATATCCTTTTCAAATTCAATATTCTATGAAAAGGAAAGACGACAGGCAAATTAGCAAATAGCAAATTCGAATAGATTAAAGCCAATTTTACAATATAATAACCAAGTGCCAGCATCAAACTTTATTCATGTAACGGTTTTGAGAACTTTACTGTAAAATGTGTCGGCAATCTTTCGGCGAAATTTAGAAACCGTACTCTTAAGCCAGGTCAATTTAAAAAATGTGCATAGATAAAAGGTATACACAGTATTTATTTACTACAACCTATAGTGAATCCCATTCTTAATACCTAAGACCAAAAAAGGTACACGCAGGCGCGTTCATCACACTCAGCGCTGCGTAAATCAGAACGCTTTTACAGAATGCACGACTTATGTGCGCAACGACAGATCTGTTATGATTTCATCGCAATAACGCTGGTTTGTTGTTGCAGCTTGGCCACCGCACAACTGCAGGATACGCTGACAAATGCACAAGCGTCGAGCACTGAAGTCGGGCGACCGGTATGTATATTTGTAATATACCCTTTCAGAAACAATATTATACGGCCTTTTTATGTTTATGCAGACAAACGAGCTGGTAGTCCTGATGATAAGTGGTCACTGCCGTCCATAGACACTTGCAGCACCAAGGGTACTCATGCGTTGCCAGCCTCTTCAGAAATCATTACTATCAAGACAAGTGAAACTCATCTGCCTTTTCAAACGTACTTGTGAACAAACATCCATCACGAGGTAACATACTGACAATACCTAACCATCATCAGCTTATAAATGCCCTCATTACAGGGACACAGGCCCATGGATGGAATAGAGAGACTGGGCCGTGACCCACCACGAGGGCTCAATGCGGATTGGTGGATGCTAACGAATGCAGAGGAGCTCGAGATATAATGTTTTTGGTCATCCACCCAATGACCGACCATTCTGAGAGTTGCTTAACTTTCACGATTACAGGCGAAATGTGCTAACCTCCTGTGCAATCTAGCTCTTCTAACCATTAATTATTTCGTGAAACAATATAATACGGCAATTGAATCTCGCCGTTTCAAACGTATACATTATGTGAGCTAGTGAACAAACATCTATCCAAGGTAACATAGTGACAATCATGTGACAATAACTGTCAATTACCAAATTAATTAAGGTAATAAACGGGTAATCCTCCTTCTTCTTGTGTCGTGCTCCTCATTGCCGAGGGTCGTGACCTCCACAAATTATTTTGTTGACGATCGCTTTCCACTTGTTGCGGTCTTCGGCAGTGTGTTTTATGTTTTCCTTCATGTTCTGATTTTCAACACTCATTTCTGGAATACCATTCGGTAGTACCTTACGAGTATTGCGCGCACTATGCCTGATTAAAAAATAGAGGCAGTGCTAGTCGGATTTGCACGTAACTTTAAGATATTATTGAATGTCAATTTTAAGCAAGAACCACAAAGCTATCTAGGTTTCGTGCGATCTAAAGACTCAACGGTTACCTGCGGCAGAAGTTCCTCCTCCTTGCCGTCAAAGAATACCGGGGAGCACCGGCCTTTTTGCGTTCGGAACCTTAATTACTTTCCGAGCAAGTGACATAGGTATTAAAAAAATAAAAACGTTTTTTTGTTGTTTTTTACCGAAGAACACCTTAACCGGTTTCTGCAGCCGCAGAATCTCCGCGGCTCATTCACACGCAACGCGACACAAAAAAAACACATATCTACGCTCAATGCCCCGAAGACACTTCCGAAATCTAATCTCCCATGTGTATGAACCAAACAAACCCAGTTTCGTGTACGCGTCTAACATACCAATGACACTTCCGCGTATCAAATTAACAAAACAAACTCGTTACTTTAATGTCATTTAAATACAATCGGTTTTGGACATCGACAAGAAGTAGGTAGTTTATCATCATATCAGTACCTATATCATCTTTATTAGAACAACAGAAAATTGGATTATCCAGAAATTTGTTGCTTGGGTGCATAGTTGTCGATGTTGGTGTTGTGTGCTTTTATTTTATTTTCACCAAAACTATTTTCTCTCTCATTAATTTATGTAATAATTTTTTCTTTGTTTTTATGTAAATGTACCATAATAATAATGTGTCCAATGAATGTGTAATTAATTATCGTATTTAATTTAATTTTAATTTCGTTAATTGCAATTGTGAATTTTAATCTGACATTTAAATTTGTGACCTCATCTATATGGGTCAGAACTGAAAGTCTGCGATTACTCTCTGAGTAAATGTATAGTATAGTTATTAAAATATTATTTGTTGCCTGATTTAAAGGTTTTATCTAATTGTATAATTTGTCTTGTTAATTTTGTATGTGTGCATGTTGGTGCGAATAAAGTATTATCTATATATTTTTATTAGTAAGTTGTTAACACACTGCATACATGTTACGTTAAGCGATTCACTCCATTTTAAACAAAAAAATAAATAAGTAACCAATTATTTTGGACTTACAATCGGTAATGTGAGTAACAATTGTAGAGATAAAGAAAATTTTACTAGAATTCTTTTTCTTAACATTTATGATTCCAGTAGTTAAATGCTTAAAATAAATATAACAAACAATGAGGATACTTAAAATACACTATTCAAAAGTGTTCACATATCAAATATTCATAGTTGATAAATGACGACCTCCGTGGTCGAGTGGTTTGTACGCTGGGTTTCATGGTGTCGCCGACTCGAGAGGGACTCCCGGGTTCGAATCCCGGTGGGGGCAGATAGTTGTGTGATGAATACGAGCAATTTGTACTCCAGTCATGGATGTATAATATGTATTTCTATATAAATATACTTATATAAGTACAGTACATGTATTCTATCCGTTACCCTAGTATCCCATAACACAAGCCTTACAGTGCTTACTTTGTAGCCCCAAAGTAAGCACTAATTGGTGTGAGTGTTGGAAATATTTATATTTTATATAGTACAACAAAAATATGACATTACTATATATTAATTAATGTGGTTTATGAATCATATTCTGTTTACTACTGTTTCTAGTCACTCATAGATAAATGAACATAGTCAACTTGACAACACTTTAAACGGATGTTAAGTAAATATTAAATAGTTTTCCTTGTATCCTATTTTAAGATAATTGTGTAAATTTTTTTTTTTTTCGATAATAATAATACCCATACCATGCAAGAAAGTAAAGGGTCCAATCAACCTTTTTTTTTGCTACTTTTGGTAAATCTGCATCGGTAAACTCACTGTTTTTTTCATTTCTAAAAGCTGCATCGTGAAACTCGACAATTATTTTTCCACACATTGCAGATGGCGCGAACGACGGTTGCGTTACGGAACGCCACGATATATGCGTGGAGTGCTTGGGGTTCTTGGAGTGCTTGCTCAAGAAGTTGCGGTGGCGGAGTGGCGGTACAAGAGCGGCAGTGCCTACCAAGAGATGCCGCAAAGTAAGTTATAAATCACTTATACAGCTATTGGTGCATATAATTATTGTAGTATGGTGTCATCACCCTCAGCATATTAATGTACCCGCTGCTGGGGCACAGGCCTTTCCTATGGATGTAATAGGAAAGATGGTACACAGCCCGGCAAACTTCTTGAGCAACGACCATAGACAAGGGATCCTACGCAGTAGCAATTTTACATTCTAAACGTCTACTGAACAAGTTTGTTTGTCTGTGGTTTTGAGTTTTCTGCTGCCTATTATGGATATATAGTATAGAATATATTATTATGCGTGGAGTATGGTGTGCTTGCTCAAGAAGTTGCGGTGGCGGAGTGGCGGTACAAGAGCGACAGTGCCTACCCAGAGATCCCGCCAAGTAAGTTACACAGCTCTTAGACAGTAATCTGTATAGATTTGTTCCTACCTTTATAGGTAGGAACGACAATTGCATTTTATTATCACGATAAGTGCGTGGAATGCTTTAGGCTCTTGAATTGCATACTTAAAGATCCTGAAGAGAATATTTTTAGTTGTATAGCTGTTAAACAACTTATGGTGCGAACGATGATTGTATTTCAGTGTCACGCTACATTCGTGTAGCGATTAAAGCTCTTAAAGTGCCAATATATTTAAAACTGTAAATTATTTAATGAATTTTTGTAACTATCCTTTAACCTTCACAATGACATAAATAACGATTCGATACATATAGCGAATATTTCGTGTTAGTAGGTTCTAGGATACAACTCATCAGCGCTGTCATAGTCCCCCGTACCACTGATTAGTTGTAACGGATATTTACAGCGACAGATCGTAGTCCAATCATAGTTTATATTAAACAGGGCTCTTTGAATAATAATGCGGATCGTTTATCGTTCTTTGTCCTTAGTTCGTAGCGAGTATAAATCATTCGTGTTTGTTTATTTGCTATAATATTTTATCCTTTATTCCGTTGCTGTAAGTAATATTAATTTGGTACTTAAGGACGTGATTGTTAGTGAGTTAGTGACAAACAATAGTGTTGGTAGAAACTACATATTTGATTATGTTTCTGTGGCTGAATTTGAAATTAAGGAATTACTGTCATTTGAATATGAATATTTCTCTAATAAAATATTGTGTATGTAGCCCAATTAAGTTACTTTCTGAGAGGACAGTCATAGATACCCATTCATGATCAAAAATTAATTAATTAGAGTTATGCATCCCAAGGAACAATAAACCGGATCGGAATTGTAACTATTGTGACACAACTCTGTCATAGTCTGGGAAAGGCTTCAACTTACTCCAGTATTGGTTGTATAAGGCGCTGATAACGGCATTAGTAGTACATATCGATATTTTCAGCACAAATAAGCAATAAATCTTTCCATTTAAATAATAAAGTAAATTAAACCCCCCAATCAAGTGCTATTTTTCACTTAATTAATTAAATTAATTTAAATTAAATTAATGTTAATTCAAGTCAGTTAAAATCTTAGTAGACGTAGTTATTTTTTATTTTCATAAGCATTTAACTGCTAGATGATTAAATGTAAAGAAAATTTTACTAGAAAAAATCCTCGCGGACCAGGCAGACGGGACTCGAACCCGCACCCTACATAAATAGCGGAGGATGCGGGTTCCAGTCCCGTCTGCTTTGCCGGCGTGGATTTTTTTCTAATAAAAATTTCTTTAGATTAAAATAATGATGTATTATTATCGTAAATCGGCTCTTAAAACAACTTATATGCAACAATAACAACCAATAACATTTACTCTATCTATTCCCATCAGATAGAAAGGAATGTTGCCTGATTTAATATTCCAATTTCTTCGTCGTTAAAAACCATATTCGTGTTTCGAACTAGAAAACAAACAAGCGGACTTGTGAAGAAGATAAATGATGTTTTTTTACCCCTATTGTTGGTGAGGCTTTGTCTTAATTATTTCATTACGGGTCTACAGTACGAACTATTAAGATAAAAACCCTTGTCCTGGTGATACAGTTATCTTAAACTTTTTAGTCGAGGAAATAAATAATGTCAGGTTGGAGTTCAACGCCTTCTCAGGGCTGCCCCTCGATGAAATTTAGTAAAATAAAATATATTTTCTTTACATGTTTTCATTGTATTTTTTGTTATTTTTTTATATTTCATTCCATGCATATTTTTATTGATTTATTAACAAAAATATATAGATAACTTAAGCTAAATAACCTAACTAATATAAACTAATAATAGCGATTCAAATACCACAATAAAAAATTTAAAAAATATATATATTCTCAAATTTTTGATTTACGGTCAAGCTCGTATCAACCCTGTAGCCTGCGCGGGCGCACCATTGATCATAGATCACAATGATATCTAATGATACGGCGCGTGGTCGATAAAGGGCCGGCCTGCCCACCGCGGGAGATCCTTCCACACCGCTCGTATCGCCACGAACTGGCACAGGGTAAGCAAAACAAATACTGAACAGAAAAGAACTGTTTAAAAATACAAGGAAATTTCTTTTTACTTCTTTTTTTCTTTAGATTCACACCATCCACTTTAAGGCGTAAAAATAGAATAAGGTATAATAATAAAATTCAAAAAAGGTTATTTGAAACTACTTTGATATTTTTTTATTGGGTTTTTTATAATGATACGCCTATGTTACATACATACTAATATTCTTTTGTTCTAATACTAGTTTTGAAATTGTTTTTCTGTTATACTATTAACTGAAGACTGTGAAGGGAACTTTTACATAAAATTATTAGGTTTCAATTTTTTAGATATAATTTAGACAAAAAGTTACTCTTACGAATGTAATTATTTCTTTGAAGACTAAATAATTCGAGGTCACTGACAAAATATATTTTACTATTCCATTGTAAATAATGATTAAAATTAATTATATAATAAATGTGAAAAGATAATAATCGAAAGAAACGAATGGCGTAAATTCATATAAAAAAACAAATGTTTTGACAAATTGACAACCCTGTTGTTATTTTCTTTTTGTGGATGCGAACTGAGCCTCCTGTACTTGCTTTGATATAATAGACCGACTAATTGAGATATAAAACTGCAGTTGTTTATTTTTTATTCCCATTCAGTATAAATATCGGTTTACGATTTGTTGTTGAAATTATTTTAAGCATGATATACCTATCTTGAATTCAAAATTTAGGTGACGTGTGGATTTTATTTCATTCAGGTGGCTTTCTTGATGTTATTTTCAAATTCACGAAATTACATTTTTGTACAGGAATGCGATTCGATAAATATATCAGTTTTACAATATACTAAATATATCAGTTTAATATAATTAATAAACTCACGGATATTTAAGTAGGGTTTATTTCATCAAGCCATATTTCAAATGCCATATTAGATTTCTTTTATTAGTGCATTAAACTGCCAAATTTTTATATCTAGTAAAAATTAACTAAAAAAAATGGCTAGTAACTCTAGTATTTTATTATTTCTTTTATTAAAAAAGTTTATAAAACGTGCAAGCATGTATATAAAGCAAATTTACAATAAAATATGATAAATGAAGTATTAACACTTTCATCGTTTATCATTTTAATAGTCCACGATTCTACCATCAGATATAGTAGTGGGAATTATTTATTAATGTCTACAATGATTTCATATCAAGGGTTGTATCACGACAAATGCATACAACTTAAATATTTATTTCGATTCAATTTCAATATTTGATATTTTAGAATAAAGTCCTTAGGTACTTACTCATTTGTTATGGTCCCTGCATTCTTAAAAAAAGGTAGGGAAAAATAGAGAGACTTGGCAAGCTATGCTATTCTGTAAAGACATACGTTCAAACTTGGAATCCGCGGTGCGATTAAAAAATAGAACGCGATTTTCACATCAAATTTAATCCATACCGGCGAATCCCGTGGTGAAAAGTGTTTGTACTTAAAGAATAGTATTGCAGGTATTGTACATGGTCACATGCGAGACTATTTTGCTGTAATTGGCGTCTCGCGTGTGGACAAATTGAATTGTTCAAATGAAAGTAAACTTTTTTTTGAAGTGAAAAGTTGCGAATTACTTGTCTACAAGCTTTTCGAAACTACTTTTAAAGACTTACTATTAACGACTTTTTCTTTTTTCTAACGTTGGTTTGTTTGTGTTTAGACTTTTACAATGCGCCCAAACAAATTATTATACGAGTATCTCCCAGGCTATCATAACTGGTGGTAGTGTGGTTGTTTCCCAATAAGGAACTTACACCATCATCATCAGCAAGGAGGTTTTTATACTATTTCGAGAAGTCAGTTTCGTTTATGCTGTCATTACAAGTCACAACACATGGCACGCAATAATCCGGGCTGTTGTACAACAGCAGTACAAGTTGCCAAAAAGCTTCCCGATTTCTCAAGATCATCTCGATTTTTTATTTTATGTCAAAGCTATTAAGGTTTTAGATCACTTGGAAGAATTCAACATTTTTGTATACCTAATGTTCTGTTAGTTGTACGTATAAAAGTGACGCAAACTCACGTAAATTTATACAACCGTAAAACGTCCGCACGGATACGCAAAGATCCGCTATAAAATAGTTGTAATAACAAATAGAAATAGTGTTGTTAAACACTAGTTCAGCATTCCACATATCAATGCTAAGAAAAATCGTTCAAAAATGTATAAAAAGTACCTACATCCTGTAAAACTGTTAATATTTTATAGAACTTCAATTCTGTAAAAATATAAATAAATTTCTGTCTCTGATAATGATTATCTGGATGATAACCAGAAACTTATTATTACAGAGATTTATTATCATGAAATGTTTATTATACTTAAACTGTTCGATGGTGTCGCTGACTCGAGAGGTCGCGGGTTCAAATCCCGGTGGTGGCAGATGTTTGTGTGATGAATATGAGCATTTGTACTCCAGTCATGGATCTTTAATATGTTTTTCTATATAAATATGCTTGTATATGTATCAATTGTGTATTCTATCCGTTACCCTAGTATCCCATAACACAAGCCATACAGTGCT